TTGAGATGGGTCCTGAGTTGTGTTGCTTTGACAGGGAAGTGTGAGACTCTCCCCTGTCATGCTGTCTCCCAGACACATCTGCTCTGCCATTTGTGCCCTCAGTTCTCTCCAGGTTATGGCAGCCCTCCCCAGCATACCTCAGGTAAAGCCCTCCTGATTAGGTTAGGAAGCCTGTTTGCTTTGTCAAGCCTGTTGTGCTTTGTCATGCATACCTCATACCACCTCAGTAGCCCTTGCTGTGACTGTGGTCACAGAAGCCAAAGCCCTGCCTGTGACACCAGCCATGACACCCCGGGTGAGTCGGCTTAGGCCTTTCTGTCTCTCACTGACATGACTGAGAAGACAGCACCTGCCCCCTTTGCCTTTCACCCTCATCACCAGTGCTCTGCAGCTATCCTTAATGCACCCCAGGTTACTCCCAACAGCATCACTGGTGCCCACAGAGAAGATCAGCAAGGGTTAATAGTCCAAAGCATGAACAAGCCTAGGCAGCACCTCCACATCTTCCAGACTGGTTGTCAGATTGCTGGCTTCATGTCCATAGGAGGGAGTCTTCTATAACTATCACACTGCTTTTACTCTTCAGCGGTACACTTACACCAGGTTCAGGCTCAGCTCGCTCTGATCCCATATGTCTGATTCACACAGACGGTCCCTAACTCAACTTCCCTCCGATATCAGTGCTCCTGCATTTATTTTTAATTGACCTTATCTGACAGTATACAAAATTTGTAGTTAGTTAGAGCATCAATACTTACAAAACCCAGCATCTATGCTTGGGGATTTAAAGTCAGACTATCTTAGTTTTCACTGCATATGCTGCTGGAATTATTAGGAGGTCCAGACAACTGCAGAGGGCAAAGACACACCAAAAGCTCCTGAAGGTCTTCAGCCAACTATGTTCAATAGCACAAGCAAAGATAGATATGGAAATAGCACTGTATTTCACATTACAAAATATGGGGCCAGTACCAGTAGTAGTTTTAAGCTTTCCTAGTCCCTCTTGCTGCTTAAGTTTATCAATCAGATGAAATAAGGTGACTTAAAAAGCAGCCTGGAAGGAAGCAGTCAGACATTTGATGAGTTCGAAACACCATTCATAAGCAGCAGGAGAAAAGAAACAGAGGAGGAAGGGGGGTGTATGAGCAACATCTACTTTTAATAAACTTGCTAAGGAGTGTGTGCCAGCACAAGGGCATGTAAACAGCCACAACACATGTAGCTTTAAAGCAAACAAACAAACAAACCTCTGCTTATTTTCTGATAAAAATTTTTAGAAGGATGCAATCTGAAACAACCTGAGAAAAAAAAAAAAAACCAAACCCAAAGTTGAATAGCTCTAGACCTGTACACTATAGGTCTCCCTACTTTCCAGTGTTGCAAAGTTCTAACAAGTCATTGTTTCAAAAGTTATTTAAACTTGTCTAGGAGGTTCACTAAATATGCAAACTCTTCTTTAGTCCTGGAAGCATTCCTGAGCTCCCCTGCAATGACTAAGATTTTCACCTTCATTTTTATCGTTTTGAAGCAGAAGATTAACTTGGGAGAAGCATAGAGGAAGTGATCCTTCCTTACCAAGACTCAAGATGGTTGTGGAAGGGAGTATGAAAAAGAAAGAGGTATTAACCCATGGAGAAAAGCAGAAGCATCTATACCTTTGAAGACTGCACACAATCCAGATCCCATGTGAATGTAAAAATGAATGCTTTTACAATTCAAGTTGGAAAAGGTGCCCAGCTTTCTCTTAAAGGTATAGCAAAGTAAACCTTTATAATTGTCATTGCTGTACTAGAAGTAACATCAGCAGCCTGTCTCCTAGGTAATTGATTAGTATTTCCACAGAATACTGTAAAAACTACATTGTGATCATTGGCAAAGATGAGTTGTTTTGACAAATGCAGTAAGTTTCAAATTAAATGCTGCAAATCTATAGGTCTGTGGTCTATGCCCATCACCTACCATTCGAGGCTGCTGACTAATGCTTGGGTTTTCCATTTTAAGATGGCATGCGTTAAAACATAGGGCAACCGGTTCATCCTGCCCTGGCTTTGCTAACTGACACTGCAGGTAGAAGCTACCCCTGGAAGTCGCGTCGGTAGGAAAGTACGATCAAGAAACGCCACCTGCTGTCTCCTGGACCATTGTTCCAAAAACCTGCAGAAGTGCAAGAACATGCACAAAACTCGTTTCCTTTTATTGCAGGAAGAATATTTGAATATGATAAACAGCAATCCCCTCCCACATAACAGTACCCAAAAGAGCCTTCAGATCCTCACCTGAGCTACGTGCTACACAAAACTTTAAGGAGTATTTCCTACAGAAGTCTCTTGCAGTGAAATCTAGGAAAAAATGCAGCAACTTCACTCTGAAATGCAAATGCCTTTGTTTTTTGCAGGTTGTTAAAAAGCAAAAATCTATCAATTGAATTTCACAATGTTGGCTTCTCTTTAATTTCAAGGTTCATCCTTGATTAAAATTCCATATAAACACAGTATAATTATTCCACTGGCTGCAATAACATAGTGCACATCCTATTCTCTGAGGCTGTCTCCAAGAAATGCTCACTAGTAACTCAGCCCATGACATTCCAGCCACTTTGACCCAGCAAAAACTCTAAGTATCTGCTTAACTTCAGACAAGTTTGGTTTCCTGACCTTGGGCGCTGGGAAACCAGAAGCCAACCACATCTAAATACACTAAACCAAGCACATGGCTGAAGCCTTCTGCACAAAAGCCTGTGTACTCAGGACTTCGATGTACCACAAGGTAAATTCATAGATACACATTCAAATCCAACTTTCCCAATTAATAAGTCTTTGTGCAACTTGTATGAAACAAAGTAGACTTTCTTTGAAACCAGCTGCATACATATTTGAAGTTGCTCTTTTCTCCTTCTTTCCTAACAGAGGACATTATCAGTCTTCTACACCAGTTCCAGAGCAACCTTCAATCTTCAATATCCTAGTATTTAATTGTCTAAATTTTGTGTGTTTCTTTGAACCTACCCTTTAATCCTCCTTGGGTGCCTGCTTTCTTTTTCTACTGAAGTACTGTTAGTTTTTTGAGGGCATCCTCCTTTTCCCTCAAGACATAGAAATGGTGTTTAAAAAAATTACTGACTCAATAGTTAGCTTGAGTAAATCAGGCTCAAGAAAACAAGTAGTCAAGAGAACAAAGAATGGAAAGTATCAGCTATATTGACAATTGTAATAGAAGTCACCACTACTTCAGTTGGAGGTAGGATACAGCTTCAAGCAGGAACCTAACCAATTCAGATGAAAACAAACATGCGCATCTCAGTCCTAGGACGAACCAACTTCTTGCAATTAATACAAGTTTGAAAGTGCCAAATAAGGAAATTAAACAGAATTGACCTTATATATTTGCTATGTAACAGGCTAAACGGGTCAGACTATCTTCTGTTGCCTACAGAAATGCAGTTTTACCTCAAAGAGTTGTCCTGATAGTACCAACTGAGTAAACTGAAGAGCAGTTCACCCCTTTAATTTTTCCCGAAACTAATCCTTGCCACAGTGCAAGCAGCCTTTACAAATCCTGTATTAAGTTTATTTGTGGAGAAAAGACTGGGAGCTACTAAAGGGCCATAGTGTATTTGAAGTGTTGGAAGAATTTCCATCTGAAGGAAAATGATTAAAAACCTGTACTCCTGAATTATGTGTGAAATTACGAGCTATAGAATATTACAGAACAAGTAATTTGCTGTGTTCTTAGACTAATGTACGTAGAACTTTAACCTATGCAACCACTCATGAAAACTGTGTCCACATTCCACAAAAATGTGATACAACCTTCAAATTATTCTTCACTTACAGTTGCACAAAATTCCATCCAATGTGTAAGAGTTTTGTGTATTTTAGTATTAACAAGTCACATTGGTGACAGAAATGAGTTACAGTGTTAAAACCTCAGAAGGAATCCTCTGACCTGCTGTAGCCACATTTGGTTTGATGGCTAAAGGCGTTTCTGCATGGATGGGTTCTTGTTTCTTCACAGTGACTCACTGGCTTCAACAAGTTTCATACAGTATGCACACATTCATTCACAGAAAGAATCCTTTGAGTTCTGACACTTGCTTGAGGGAGGGAAGAGGCAAAATAAAAAGAACAGAAGCCGAAGGAGATGTAAGGTGGTCCAGCACAGAGTACCAAGCTGGGCTCCACCTAGTCTTGTGCTCAAAGGACTACCAAGTTCTGTACCAACAGGCTCATTATCTCATAGGCAGAATTAAACCAAAAGTATCCGAGTGCCAGCCAAAGTATAGCTGTTTCCAATTCCTTCTATTCCAGACAGTGAATGAGGAAAGATTTTGGGGTATACAGGACTCTCAGTTACATATAGCTTTTTATCACTAGAACCAAGCACGTTTGCCCTGGAGTCATTAAAGCTGGGTCAACGTGAAGTTTTTTCGCATTGTTTTTATGATCACTTGCTCTATGTACGAGTGAATTATGCGGACGATATGTAATTCTACTCTAAAAAGTGATTGTACTTGCTCTAAGAAACTTGTTAGGACTTAGCTGCAAATCTTTATCAAGATCTGCTTATCCTGGGAGGCTCAATATCAGAAAATGTGAAGGAAGCAGTATGTAGGGTCACTCACTCTGAGACTCAAACTTTTGTTCAGGATTTCCTTCCAGTGAGAAAACAACCAGTTGGTACTATGCTACCTCCCACAGCATTTCCATGATCCCATTTGATGTGAAAAAACATGCTAATACATTGCTTCTGAAGAAAAAGATATTAAAAGGAACAAAAAATGCTTGTTTTCCTCTCATTCTCTTGTGTACAGAATTTGAATAAACAGTAAAAGTGCTTCCACAGTCTTTTATCTAGACTCTGGACTGCATCTATACTTTCAGTCAGAACATCACATCTGTATTTTCTTCTCATAAATCACAGATGTCAGGTCAGATATCCATACTATTTTGTTCACTTCCATCAGGACATTTGGCACAGGAAAATCCTGATTTAAGTACCTGAAGAAAAACTTCAAACCACTTTATCGCTCCATTTCTGAACAACACACAAATACCCACCATCACAGCTTGTTTTAAGCACCAAAATTGAAACGTGGAAGCTACATGGTCTGTATTTAAAATGCAGTTTCACACAAACAACTTAAACAATTGCTCATTGTGGAGAAGGGGGAGAAGACATTTTATTTGAACCTGACTTGTAAGAGATGCTAACAGCAGTTCAGTTTGCCATCAGGTATTGAACTATTCCAACAACAGATTTGACCGAAGTGGTTTAGCAGCCTGATAGCCCAATTGCTTCTGATTTAAAAGCTTTGCAGGGATCTTCTTTGAACTAGGAATCTGGAAAAGCATGTCTTCCAGCGTGCACATGGTTATCTGTCCTGAAGCTTGTAGTCTTATATAAATATCTCTTAATTTTGCAGAAAGGTCAGGGTTTTCTTCCATCTTTTCCTTGACTGTAGCCAGCTAAGGAGGAGAAAGTGACAGACTGTTACAGTTCAGCAAGTGAAGATCTCATTCAACCACCATATTGCTTGAAGACAAGCAATCACTCAAAGAAAAAAAAAAGTATACAACGTAAGATATGTGTATAACGCAGTGACTCATAAGAAGAGGATTTTATGCAGCACACTTTATACATCACCAGACAATGGCAGAAATGCACTGGATACCTACTAGAGAGAGTTTATTAGATTTAAAACTTCCTCAAAGTTGTACAGTCCTATTTTCAGTCCTAGTACAGACTAACACAATCATGTTCTATTTAAACTCAGGAAACATAATTGCTTCCTGGAATCTACTTTCCAGATCAGCACAATTCTAATTATGTATCACATTAAACATACAGTACAAGTCAGTAAAAGTCAAACTATAGAACACAGAGTATGAGCTCAAATATAAGTAAATCTCTTAAAAATTCTTATTGATCAATAATCTTTTGTGGAAGGAATGGGTTAGGACTAATGCTTAGTCTTCTTAGGGACTGTTATAAATTTGGCAAACAGAATAAAATACAACATTGACAACATTTATTGCAATGAATTTACAAAATTAAATGCTGCTTAAAAATTTCTTTTCAGCATAGCAGTTAATATACATGGGATATGTTGTGAAAGGTATGCCCCCCTTCTACCTAGTTTGTTATTTTACTTATCACTTATTCATTTTGTTTAATAGGCAGCAGTGAAAGGCTAAGTACTTAATTATTAACACAGTCTTAAAATATCTTGTTCCATAGACATGTTCAAAAATCAATACACTAACAAGTTTCAGGAAAAGCAATCTATTTTTTATAGTAAAATACAGTAAAATAGCAAGAGCTATTATTTCCCATATCCTACCTCCCTGTACAGCATCACAAGTCTTTACAAATACTACCAACCTAACAACATAGCTGTGATCAGACCTTTATTCTCCTTTTTACATCAAATTAAAACAGCACAGAAGGCAAGGGATTAAATTATTTAATGCCACTAGGGAATGTTTCATCTACATTCCGATGAAATTTGAGCTTCTAAGAGCAAGGCATGCAATAAAAAAAAAACAAGTGGACAGCTAAGTGCTTTGTCCAACAGTACAGAAAGCCAGCCAGCTGCTTCAGCATCTGAATGCATTAGAACCCAAACAACTTTAGTAGGGTGAACTCAGGCACCTGAAGTTCTGTAGCTGAACCACCATCATCATGGCTCAGCCAAGCACTGTAGACCTCCTCTCATTACTCTATACTTACCACCTGCTCAGAAAACTCAATTTTTTTCACAAAGGGAGGAGTATCTACTTCCACTGCCTCTAATGTCTTTATTACTTCTTCTAGCGAACCAGATCTGAGCTGGACAAGCACCTTAAAAATAAAATGAAACCACACCACACAGATAGTACTTATCATCAGAATGCACATTTTTAAAAAAGTGTTTGAAGAAGACATGAAGCAAAGCAGGATAAAATACATTTCTAGATGCTGCACTGATAAAAATCCATTAATTGTGAAGAAAGCAGAGGGAATGATCAATTCCCATTAAGGTTTGGTTTTTTTCGCAGCTGGAATCTGGTAAGGAAGGGTGGAGCCTGGAGGCAGAGCTCCTCTGATGGAGCTGCATTAGCTGTTCTTGAATAAAGTGGTTTTTTTCCATAGCTTAGAGGTCACTTACAAGGCACATGCAGTAGACTTTCTCTCAGGCTGTAGACCATGCAGTTAAAGAAAAAAAAAAATTCTTGTATGTACATGTGCGGTTAAGGTTCATAGGACTGAAGGAGGCCTGAAGTGGGCAGAGCTCAGCTAAGGCAGGCATTTACTTGGAGCTGCAGGTTTTTTTAATCTCTTGCAGCAAGAAACCAAAAAGACACAATGTCACCATTAGAAATTGTTCACAGGTCTATACTCACAGATGTAGGACTGGTCTACTTTCCATTCTGATCTATGATAGGAACCAATTTTAAAAAATGGGGCAAGGGTGTTAACAAATCAGCACAATTCATTCAACTGACAGAAATTGCCTCATGGCTCAAAAAAAAAACTCAGCAACAGTACTGATACATGCTTGTGCTACTATGAAGCTGCCTTTCTGTTACTTTGCACATGGGAGTTTTTTGTCCAGTGTAGCACACTTCTCTAGCCAGATTCTAATACAAAGCAAACATACTTACTTTAAGATTATTGTATAGTTTGTTCTCTGTTTTCATTATCTGTGAACAATAAAATTTGGCTTGCGCTACATCATTCTAGAAAGGAATTATAAATAATAAAAAAAAGGTTAAACATGTGCAACACACTTCCACAATAAAATTCCAAGAAAAATGAGAGTCCATCACAACTTTTCAATGAATCACAAATCAGCATCTAGAACCCCTTCACCAAGACCCACAGACTCCAAACAGCATCCAGCCTGTGAAAGAAACACCCCGTGCTGGAGTTCCTATGTCATCTTGCTCTTGTGCACATCAGACAGTACTCCCTGCTTCAGATCAGCAGGGAAAGGAACCATGTAACCAGCACTGAGCATGAGGGCACCTAAAGGTGAAAGATCTACACACATGCTCAGTTTGGCACATGTCAGAGTACTTAAATGAAGTGCAGCGTATGTTAATGTGAGTATTTATCCTGCCCAGCACCTTTACCCTTTTGGATATATACTTTACAGTACTGTATCTATGCCATCAACTAATTTGTATAGACAGTAAATGTTACACTGACATTTAGTAGACCAAGCACTGTTACTTGGGATCAAGAACCACCTTACTCACAGAAAGATGTCCTGTCAAAAATCATGCAACTTAAGAAATAGTTACTTGTAATGTGGAGCATTATTCTGTTTTGCAAACAAGAATTTTAACTGATTTTTACATAAAGCAACAGCATCAATGATGTTTCATGTTGTTTCAGAGACAGAGATTTTGTTTTTTAACCTCAATGCCAATAAGCAGCTCTGTCATGCCATCATGCACATGAATAAATTAATTTCGGTGATGCTATTGCTCAGTGTCTCTGTTCACAGACACAGTGCAAAAACCACCACAGCATGTAAGAAAATTTTAACAATTCTACTTAATTCATTCAAATCCATGAACAACATCAAATCGCTAGTTCTTGGAGTGTCTCTGACCTCTGTTTAGACATGAAACAGAGAAGGTTCGGAATATCCTCAAACCATATACACAAATTAACGTCAGACAAAGTACTAGACTTTAGAATTTCCTAATTGTTATTCTCCCGTTCAATCTTTCACCCTGTACTGCCCCAGACCCTCTTCATATCAGTGCTTAGGCACACGAGATACATGAAAACCTGCCTCTGAAGAAACATGTTGTGGAGAAAAGACCAGCCATCTCCCAGGCAGTAGGGCAATACACATCATAGCCTTTGAGTTTGCCTCCCAAGATAAACATTTTGAAGAGGTGATTGTGCAAGTATTTTAAATTCTCATTTTAATTCTATTTAAAGGAAATCATCACTAAATAGCAGTATGCGCAGGACTGGGACCATGGTTACATCTAACCTGCTGGCCCAACTCTCTTTCATTTCCTAAAAATATTCTATATCATAGAATCATAGAATCATAGAATCATTATGGTTGGAAGAGACCTCAAAGATCATCAAGTCCAACCGTACACCTGATGCCACCCTGTCCACTAAACCATGTCTTGAAGTGCCACATCTAGACGTTTTTTGAACGTCTCCAGGGACGATGACTCCACCACCTCCCTGGGGAGCCTGTTCCAATGCCTAACGACTCTAACAGTGAAGAAGTTCTTTCTAATGTCCAGCCTGAACCTCCCCTGACGCAACTTGAGACCATATATGGCATTGTCACTAGCACAAAACACCTGTGCATTTGACTCAAGACATATGTTTACATTTCAGAATTTCCACATTCGCATTGTGTGGGAGTTGTCTATTAACCCTACTCTTTTGGGGGTGCAAAAGTTCTAGTACTTTAAGTTGTAACACAGATCAGCTACACTTCCTCTATGTTAGCTTCCTTTCACTGACTATCTTACTGCAATAAACCTATGGAGGTTCAGGCACAAATCAAAACTAAAGGTACCGTACCTGCTTCAGAGCAGTTGCCACAGCAAAGCAGAATGCTCGTAGTGGTAACGTGTCACCTTTTAGCTGTGCTTCTTCAAGCAGTTTCGCAGAGATTTTGCAAGACTCCAAGTTGTCCTGCATAGAAATTTCAAACCTAAGTTGTACTTACTATTCTTGTGATCTGAAAGGACTGTAGGCAATTGCAATGACATTCAGAAGGCATTCAGAAGTCAACATACTGTAAGATCACCAAGGCAATCCATATCTGAACCCAATCAAGCAGATTCTGTGTAGCACTTCAAGAAATATAACATCAAAATATGATATTCAAAGCTACAGAGTTCAGAAAAGTGTAAAAATAACTTCCATTATTTTGAAAACTACACCTTGCCCTAACTCTTTCGGCTTCTACAAGAAGTAAAACAACCTTAGCAGTATGCTAAAACCAACAGACATTTTCCTTTCCACTTTCCAACCATTCACAAACCACCAACTCTCAAAAACAATGCTCCTCACCCTGGAAACTATGAGTAGAGCTGACTGGACCCCGAACAAAATAATACCTGCCAAACTAAAAAGCTGGCAGCAGGAAGGTTTTGTAACAACTGGTACCACCAATATGGATAAGTGCCTTCATATTCCTTTCTAGTATTTGGTGTTGATTTCTGTTCCTACTGTTAAAAGTGTTATTCCTATAAAATACTGGCCATGATTTAAAGGACAGGGTCATCTTTTGGGTGTTTAAAGGATGCTTTTCCATGCCACTGCTGAATGGTCCGCACAGCTTGTGAAAAGCCCTTTTAAATCACAGGAGAAATCAGAATATTGGTTACTATTGTATAAATATTTTGTTGTCATCAAAATGCCTACAGCCCTTTCCTGCACTAAAAGAAGGACCACGGAATCACAGAATGGTTTGGTTGGAAGGGACCTTAAAGATCACCTAGTTCCAAGCTCCCTGCCATGGGCAGGGACACCTTCCACTAGACCAGGTTGCTCAAAACCCCATCCAACCTGGCCTTGAACACTTCCAGGGATGAGGAAGTCCACAATTTCTCTGGGCAACCTGTTCCGGTGCCTCACCACCCCCAAGAATTTCTTCCTAATACCTAATCTAAATCTTCCCTCTTCCAGTTTAAACCCATTGCCCTTTGTCCTATCACTACATGCCCTTCTACAAAGTCTCTTCCCTAGCTTTCTTGTAGACACCTTTATGTACTGGAAGCCTGCAATAAAAGTCCCCCCAGAGCCTTCTCTTCTCCAGGCTGAACCACCCTAACTCTCTCAGCCTATCTTCACAGGAGAGGTGCCCCAGCCCTCTGATCACCTTCGTTGTCCTCCTCTGGACTCACTCCAACAGGTCCATGTCCTTCTTGTGTTGGAGGCCCCAGAGCTGAAGGCAGTACT